TTAATTAATGTGTCATGTGTTAAATAAAATTTAATAAATTAAACAAAACCAACTAATAAATTAAATTTTAGGTATAAAAATGAATACTTTTAAGATTAAAAATTAATTAAACTATAATAATTTTAACTATCCAATAGTGTGGTAAGAGAATTAGTGATTTTACGTTTTAATAACATGATAGACGTCGGTGATGAGTTATGGGATTTGAAATTCAAATAGATTTTAGCAAAATGAAATACATTATTGATGGGTGGCTAAACTTTTAGCAATATGGTACATGCTGTTGAAAGTTCTATATATATATATACTACACCTCTAGTCCATGCTGAACCAATTGCATTCTTCAATTCTCCTCCCATTCTTTTGCATACCATTCTCTCAACCTCTTCTTCTTTTTTCTTTTTTCTTTTTTTTTTTCTTTTAGGTGATATAAATTCTCTTGCATCATTTTTTTTTTTTGTAATACACATAATTTCTTCTAAAAATTATATGATACAACCATAAAAATAATTATACATAAACTCTAAAGAAAGGTCATTATAATTAGTAAATTTCAGTCTTTTTGGTCTAGTTATAGCCTTTCTAAATTAGAGTTTGCAAAAGTATTAAATCATAAATTTTTGACATTGTGTGTCTTCTCAAATCTAAGGTGATTTATGGCAATCGAGGGCTAAATCACTTTTAGGTATCACTAAAAATTGATTTGAGATTGTTTCTTATAAATTATAAATGATAATTTGAAGGACTTTTTCAATTTGTGCCTTTAGTATGTAGTTATACATCCTTTGGATATTAATTTATATTGAAAATAACAAAAAAAAAATTATATGGTTTATTTTAATTAATCAAATGATTAAATAAAAGCCAACTCTTAATTTTTAATGCCAATTAATATTAACAACGTGTCCTTAAACATGTGCCTTACAAGTTTAAAAAAACGAATATAATTTGAAATCTATATGTAAAAAGGAAGATATAAAACAAAATATATATAAATGATGATATACTTATATTTGCTCAAATTTAAAATAACGAATGTATTGACTAAGTTCTTGTTAGTAGAAATTATAGTATCTCATGTATATGCATGGTTGTGCTATTGTATAGGCCAAGGTCATATGGCAAAATTAAGGACATGAACTACACTATAAT